CATGATAATGCATAATTTGAAAATAAGAGCCTACGATTAAAAAAAAAAAAAAAATAGAAGATCATATATGCTCTTCTAGTAGAAGATCCCACTGAAAAAGTAGGATACATAGTGATATAGATGTTGGCTGTTAGTCCACATACTATGGCAAAGTTGCCTCATGATTCTATAATTTTTTCATTAGAATCTCTTCTAGAAAAGTTTACACTTTAGAGAAATTCACTAATTTCTAAAGTTAACGGGCTATACAAATGGTTTCCTTCTTCCTTTTACCCTTCATTTGGAGGAGTGGGTGTAGCAGCATCGACTAGGGGATTCTGCAAGCATTACAGTATAACCTCTATAAATTAATAAGGTTGGCCCCAAGTAATTTTATTATACAATAGAGTTTATTAATTTATCCTGTTAGTTCAAGTTGGGATAGGGAAATTTTACTATATAATATAGCTGATTAATTTACAGAGTATTAACTTATAGAGGTTACCATTGTATCATTTCAGAATCATTTGACAACAATTAACATTATCGATAATGATAAATTTAGCTTCTGGTCAGTCAAAGTCAACAAAGAACTAGCAGAATAAAAATGATTGTTACTGAAGTGAATGACTATAAGTTTGTTGACGATCATAAGAACTAATTATTTTTAATAATCAAGAATCCAACAGTGCCATACCAGTTTCCTCTTCCAATGCAGCAGTTCCAGATGCAGAAGTTAAAATAACAGACTTATCAGAAAGCTGCTGATCATCTCGTTTAACCAGAATATACGTAGATTTGTCTTTGCCACTCACGGCTTTTGAGTTGTCCCTTGAAACATACTGTTGATGAGTCAGTTCAGAAAGTGAGAGTTTAATTAATATAATCATCAATCCACAAAACATCAAAAATTGGCATCTTCACTAACGACCAAGGCAATGTCTCACTTACTGATTTATATCACAACAAATAAATTAGTATAGAAGTACAAGATAATGTAAAAGACAGATCATTGACAATTCTAGTATTTAGAGCATCTTAAGTAATGCTCTTTATTTTAAGGAGCACATTTCCCAAGTAAAGAGCATCGTGAAGAATTTTCCCATAAGCAATGATTAATCGACATTTTCCCTCTGTTTAATTTGTTTCCACTCTAATAAGTGTAAAGAAAATTGTGAAACAGTGAACGAAAGTATTAAAGTTCTATACAGAGCATGTGTCTGCCTCTCTACATTTGAAGAGTCAAATCCACTCTTTGTTTTAATTTTTGAATATAAAGAGTTAGGTGGACCCGTATAAAAGAGAGTTGACACTCTAAAATAGAAAGGATATGGTTAATAAAGAGCCTCTTGAAGATGCTCTTAGGAAAAATAGCCATTCATGTCAATTAGAAAAGGCACGCATGGATCCATAAATACCACATCCAACATATCATCAACTAAATATATAGTGGTCATGTTAACCATCAAGTAGAAATAAAACTCAAACACCATGGCCTGAAAATTATAATGTTTTACTTCCATTAATATAAGAAAGACATCATGCAAGCATTAGTAATAGTATCCACACATAAGCAAGCCATTTAAATGAGATATCATTTAGAATTTTAACAATCAAATGTATTTGAAGTTCGAGGAGAACAGTGAAAGAAACCATGTCATGTCATACATAAGACATAGGAATATAGAGCTTAATGCCATTTAAAAACCATAAAGAAATCCACAGACTAATATAAACCACGACTTCACATTATAATGAGCATGAGCCTTTCAGTTAATGGTAAAAAATCAATAAAACAGTTTACCATGGTGGTGGAAGTCCTCCTCTTCTCTGATCCTCTTTTTGAAGAACCTGAGTTAGGAGTCCTAGATGATGCTCCACTGCCCCTTTTGGGCGGCTTCCCATTCAATGCAGATCTCTATCCACAATTGAGAAAAAGTTATGCAAATGTTTTAAGAGTTATTACAAAGTTCACAAAGGAGTAAGCCAACAACAAAATATGAAGAGATAATCCTACATTCTACCGCCGGGGGGGGGGGGTTTGAAGGGGAAAAAAAGAAGAAAAACACACAGAAACATCCAAAAAAAATAAATTAATTATTGCCACTAAAAACTCATCAGGAATACATCTTTTTTTGTGCGTGTGCACGTTTGCTTGAAGAGAGAGAGAGGAGTTATCAAAAAACCTTCAGGAATAAATTTCAACTATCAATAACCTATGTTACAAATTGATCGACAGCTTCTACTGCACACTATATATTTAATGATTCAATACAAACCCATTCCTGAAATTTTCACAATACAACTCAGGAGAACACTAAATAATAATTCAGTTGCATGGGATACAGGGATTCAGGGCTTTTTCCAACATTAAGAGGTTGTGGTAGTGAAGAGAACAACTCAATTCACATTCCGAGGTCAAACATCCCCACCCTTTCCGGCCCAAAAAAGAAAAATATAATAGAAAATTATACATAAGTAGTGATTATGCAATCCAAGAGAGCTCTCACATTTTTTCCTCAACGAGCTATATTATAACCTCCAAATCCCAAGAACTCTAGAAGAGACAATTAGTCATCGGTACAACCAAAGTAGTGAATATTCTGAGTAAATTCTCGAGCAAATCATAAATCTCTCTCACATTCCCCCATTCTCTAGACTATAGATCTTTCCAGGCTACAAATGAAATAATATTAATGAAATTATGTAAAACCGTTGTTACCATTTTCTACACTATACAGATGGATAAATTGCAGTGTTGATAAAAAAAGAAAACCCAATTATAGTGGGTGCTTGGTAGGGATTAAAATTAGATTTTTTAGTAGATTGTGAAAGAAGTTTTTGAAGTGTGTGGTTGAAAAGTTGTAGAACCCATGAAAGATGTGGTTAATATTCATTGTTTGACTTTGACTTAAATTAAAATCGAATTTTAATCTAAACCTAAACCGAACAAGCTAATAAAGTATTTCCTTGCTTTCACATACTAGACACTTGCAGGACATGCCATAAAAATGAAACTGATGCAAGTTCAAATGTCAAGCAAGAACCAATTTGATGATTCAGATAACTTCACATGGAAATAACTCCAGACTATGATGATTCATTGGTCCTCAACATTTAGCAGTCTAGATGGAAATGTATATTTCCGTTAAAACGGGATATTAAAATCGAATTTTAATCTAAACCTAAACCGAACAAGCTAATAAAGTATTTCCTTGCTTTCACATACTAGACACTTGCAGGAAATGCCATAAAAATGAAACTGATGCAAGTTCAAATGTCAAGCAAGAACCAATTTGATGATTCAGATAACTTCACATGGAATAACTCCAGACTATGATGATTCATTGGTCCTCAACATTTAGCAGTCTAGATGGAAATGTATATTTCCGTTAAAACGGGAAGATAAAAACCACTTCATAGTGAACGAGTGGTAAGATTTCCTACCCGAGTTCCACTCTTTGCAGCTCTTCTCTGACGAACAAAG